CCGCTTTCGCTTGCTGATCGAATTTATTTCATAAAATAATTTATTTTCATAACTATTGCACTTTTTGATTGTGGTGAGATACTAGTGTCTGGAAAAGGATGTGGTTTCTTTAGGTTGTCACATTATTTTTAGTATCTTAATTCTGAACTATTATGATAAAAGTGTGTATTATGAGAGGACTAGCCTTTGCCTCAGTAAGAGGTATCTGAAATAACCAAGACAGGCAAGGTAGGCAAGAGGTAGGATACAAAGCATAAGTAATACCATCATCCCTTTATTAATATACATGTGATAAAAACTGAACTCAGTCATTTTTAAATAGGAGCTTTGGCAAGGACTCTAAAAATACTTTCACGGTGGAATGTGTAAAGTAGAAGTTCCATTAAAAACTCCAAGCTTGAAATTACTAATGATAAACCTTACAGAAGTTAATAAATGCTGACAATAGTTCTACTGTATGGAAGTTAAATTTGTACCTTTGTAATCAGTAACTTGTGCTACTCTGATCAGCCCTGGAGACAGATGGTTCCTCTGAGTTATGGTAGAGATTTCCTGGAAATATTTGTAGGTGACCAGAAATGGCTGGTATTTAAAAGAGTGCTTTAATAGTCAAGCAGAATTTTTTGGGTGGCTCTTCTTCTGTGGTCTTGGAATCATCAGCACCAGCTGTGGTTACAGTCTCTGGCTGTCTCCATTGCAGAAGTGTTTTCAAACTGATTCATCTGGAGCTGTTAGCTGAAAGGCAAAAGCCATCTTTTCCCACAAAAGTGGGTAGGTAAAGTGTTTATTTTTCCCTGTTGTTATCTGAGCACCGGTAGTCCTCTAATGGTCCTATTGGGATCCTGTAAGAATGTTTTCCTCCGTAATTATCTAGGAAAGGAATTCCAGAGCAGCAACATGAATAGGTGATTTTGGAGGCTGTTAGCAGAACTCCTTTGCAAATTCAGTGCCAATAACAACATGGTGACCAGGGTAGGGCATTGCAGTGTGGCTCCTCACAGCTGGCTGAGGCTGGCTTAGGTATCCATCACCAAACTTACCTTTGCAGCCAAGACACACCTTTGAGAGAGGCCTCTCAGAATAGTGCCCTCCAGCCTGTGGGCTGCTTCTCGTTCCCTCTAGGGCTTTTGGGTATGAGCACAACAGACCTCATCGCTGAGCGGCACTGGAAGCTGTGGAAAGCAGAGGAGAGGCTGTTGTCATTGAATGTCTGGTGAGCAAAGGCATGAGCGTTGCTATTTCCAGCTCAACAAGTGGAAGGGACTTGAGAGGAAACAAAATGTTCAAAGGTGCTTGTTGCTGAAAATCTCCTGAAGGCCCCGAAAGGCTGTGGCTGTGAAAAGGAGCCTAAAGAAAGTCAAGGAGCCAGTGACTCCCAAAAGGCTGTTGTTGGCAGAGCCAGGCTACTGGAAAAGCAACAAAGCCTAATACAGGTGAGTTGAAAATGGCAAAGGCTTAGTAAAGCTGATCTGAAGAAGAAGTAATGTTACTAGAATAAATATGGAGTGTTTGCATCTTCAAATAAGCCAGATCTTTCCTTTTTACTTATGTTTTCAGGCTCCTTCAACAGGAGGAATCAACAGGCACAAGGTTCTATTAAAATGGAGCAGTTTAAAGCTGCCTCGCTTTGCAAGGCCTGGGCAATGTTGAAATATGCCTGTTTCTCCATCCCAGACTGTAAAGTGGTGCTCGCTTCTGTTCTCTAAGCACTGGGTGTGTGCTTGCATGCAGGGGTATGGTACTTAATATGTTTAAAAGCAATTTTTGCCTTGTGGGAAACCTCAGAAAATACTATCTGACCAAACAGCCTGTGTCTCAGGTGCTCTGCTGCCAGGGATGTTTCACTGAAACTCATAGAATGGTTTGGGTTGGAAGTGACTTTTCAGATCATCCAGTCCCACGCCCCTGCCCCAGGCAGGGCCCCCTTCCCCCAGGGTGCTCCCAGCCCCGTCCAACCTGGCCTTGAACCCTTCCAGGGAGGGGGCAGCCACAGCTGCCCTGGGCACCCTGGGCCAGTGCCTCACCACGCTCACAGGGAAGAATTTCTTCCTCATATCTAATCGAAATCTGCCCTCTATCAGGTTAAAACTGTTGCCCCTCATCCTTTCTCTACACCCCCTGATCAAGAGTCCCTCCCCACCTTTCCTGCACCCCCTTTAAGCACTGGGAGGCTGCTCTAAAGTCTCCCTAGAGCTGCCTTTTCTCCAGACTGAACACCTGCAACTCTCTCAGCCTGGCCTCCCAGGGGAGGTGCCCCGGGCCCCCGAGCATCTTTGTGGCCTCCTATGGACACCCTCAAGGAGATCCATGTCCTTCTGTTGTTGGGGGCCCCAAAGCTGGCCCCAGCACTGCAGGGGGGTCTCCCCAGAGCGGAGCAGAGGGGGAGAATCCCCTCCCTGGCCCTGCTGCCCCCCCTGCTCTGGGTGCAGCCCAGCACACCGTTGGCTTTCTGGGCTGGGAGCGCACGGTGCTGGCTCACAGTCAGTTTTCCGTCCACCAACACCCCCCAGTCCCTCTCCTTGGGGCTGCTCTCCAGCCACTCCTCGCCCAGCCTGGATTTGTGCTTGGGCAGGACCTTGCCCTTGGCCCTGTTGAACTCCATGAGGTTTGCATTGGGCCCACCTCTCCAGGTCCCTCTGGATGCCATCCCTGCCCTCAGCGTGTCCCTGCACCACACAGCTCAGTGTTGTTGCTGAACTTGCTGAGGGTGCACACTTGATCCCACTGTCCATGTTGCAACAAAGATGTTCCACAGGGCCAGGCCCAACCCCGACCCCTGAGGAACGGCACTCGTCACTGCTCTCCGCTTGGACATCGAGCTCTTGACCACAACTGTTTGAGTGTGACCGCCCAGCCAGTTCCTTATCCCTCAAGTGGTCTATCCACCAAATCCATATGTCTCCGATCTAGAGACGAGGATGTCATGCAGGACAGGGTCAAATGCTTTGCACAAGTCCAGGCACATGATGTCAGTTGCTCTTCCCTTATCCACCACTGTTGTAAACTCATCGTAGAAGGCTGCCAAATTCATCAGGCATGATTTGCCCTTAGTGAAGTCATATTGGCTGTCATCAGTCGCCAAATCTTCCATGTGCCCTAGCATAGTTTCCAGGAGGATCTGCTCCATGATCTTGCTGGGCACAGAGTTGAGACTAACTGGCCTGTAGTTCCCCGGGTCTTTGTTTTCTTCCTTTTTAAAAATGGGCGTTATGTTTCCCCTTTTCCAGTCAGCAGGAACTTCACTGGACTGCCATGGCTTCTCAAATAAGATGGATAGTGGCTTAGCCACTTCATCCGCCAGTTCCCTCGGGACCCATAGATATATCTCATCAGGTCCCATGGACTTGTGCACCTTCAGGTTCCTTAGATGGTCTTGAACCTGATCTTTTCCTACAGTGGGTGGTTCTTCTTTCTCCCAGTCCCTGCCCTTCCCTTCTGCATCTTGGGTGGTGTGGCTGGAGCCCTTGCCGGTGAGGACTGAGGCAAAAATGTTGTTGAGTACTTCAGCCTTCTCTGTGTCCTGGGTGACCAAGTCTCCCATTTCCTTCTGGAGATGGCCTGTATTTTCCCTAGTCTCCCTCATCTACCCTAATCCTTCATTTTTATACCTGTTTGCATCCCCCCTCCCTTCTTACTGCAGGTGCAAATTGGCCTAGCATGAAGGATGACCAAGAGCAACAAATACCTTCATAAAAACTATAGCTTTGCACAAGGCATCTACTGCACTGCACCCCAGTTAGGGTGATATATCCAAGGAAGTGCATATCCCCTTCTGTACAAGCCTGCCCAATTTAGGCTCCTGAAAAAGGCTATTGCTTTACTAAAGAGAAGCTGACCTGCCTGCCAGGACGTGTTGCTTTTAAATATTCCTGCAAATGCCGAGATCATGCAAGATTCCTTGTAAAATTGGAAGGCTGATAATTTTCCTGGCAATGTCTTTAATTTTTAACTGTTGGCAAAATCAAGCGAGTTATGCTTTGTAAATTTTGTTAAGCTTTCTGGATTTACAGGAGAGATCCCAGAGCAGACCTCACAAGTGAAATAGCCGAGCCATCATGGGAGTGCCTTGGGCAGTAGGGCCTTGTTTCTGTACTGTTGTGCCCTGAAAGCACAAGGATTGCGAGGAGTTGTGAGCATATGCTGAAGCTGCTGATGCACTCAGGGTGTTTATAGGGTTTCTGCTTTCTAGTTTTCTTGTGTGGATGTCAAGGGAAGTTCATGCTGCAGTCTGAGGGAGGCACGTGTGCTCTCTCTTGCAGCTAGTTACTCATCACAAACCTTAGAAGTGTACATCTTTGAGACCTCTCCTGCTGTGTTGGATTTTATATAAAATTGCAAAGTGCTTTAAAAAAGAGGAGATTGATGGGAAGGAGGAGGCAACAATGGCAGAGATAAATACGGATCCAGGAGCATGGGTGAAAATCTCTTCCATGTGACTTTATACCAACAAAATGTAGTAGGAGTCCACAACCTGAGATCCATGCAGGGAGCTGCTCATTTGGGTCATTTAGTCATTCATTGCCTTTGTTTTTCATCTGCAGGTTGGATTATTGATTTAGATGCTGCTAGGAGCTGTGCCTCTGCTTCCACATTACATACCATTACTGAGACAGTGTAGAAATCTTAAATTTTGAAGCTTATAAATTCTGAAAACTGGAATTTTGAAATAAATAAAATGGTGTTGCAGAAGATAATGTGCTCCAGCTGTTTAGTTATTGTTTTTCCTAACAGTGTTATAAGATTTCAGAGGATTTGTGGGAAACTGTATCCTGAGGATTTGGTTACTAATCAAAGCACCCTGTGGAGGAGGTGGAGCTGAAGTGACTTCTGGCATGTCAGTTCCTTTGCTGCCATCTGTGTTTTAAAACTCATCAACAAAAATACATTTCATTGGGCTAAAGAGTCAAGAAATTTAAACTCCAGTCCTCAGACCACAAAGGTGTGAGTCGAAACAGCTCCCTTAGAAATTTTTTGTTTGGTTGGTTGTTTTTCTTTGCTAGGATCTCGTCTCTTTAGTTGTGGAAGAAGAATCCCGGAAATGTGAGAAGAATTCAGGCCTCTGCTTCCCAGTTCCCGACCCTCATCCAGTGATCCTAGAGATTGGCTGTGGCTCTGGAGCAATTGCTCTGAGTCTGTTGTGCAAACTGCCACAGGTGAGCTTTTTTCAGTGTTCATGGTCCAATAGATGCCTGTGTTACAGGACAATCCCACACTACTAGTCTTCACTGAGGCTTCACAGACAAACTTCTTTGCTTTGATGGGACTTGAGCACCTAAGGTCTCTGACAGTCAGGCTTTATAAGTTCATGCTAGGTAAAAAGGGGGATATTTAGGAGTTGCTCTTCCCAGCTGTCCACAGGAGTAGCAGAGACATAATCAGAATGAAAGAAGCAAATGTGTTCATTCTTCAGCTGTTATAGCTCACTAGTAATCAGGTTAGCTTGAAGCACTGATGGGTGTAGGTTTAAGCTAATATCTTGGGCTGTGGACAGGAGGGACTGAGGCATGGGCATACACTCTGTTAGTCGAATTTATGGGGCAGTCATCTCTAAAAGTCATCTTGCTGTGAATCAAAAGATCTTGTCTCTAGGAGACTGAAGACTAAATGAATACAGGGAAGGGATTACCACAGAAGTGTCAGTACTTGGGATCAGTATGACAAGCATATGTCACACTACTACAACTGCCAAACCATTTTTTTTTTTAAGTCTTTTGTTCCTTAATAACAACCCACACCTTTTGAACAGAGTAAAAAGAGCAGGAAGAGGACTGAGATCAGGGTGACCAAAGTCCTTCTTGCCTCCCATTATTGTGGCATGTAACATGCTTAATGAGAAGCTGTTGGTAAGCAGAAAGAGAAATGAATCCAAGATATCATTGCATGTGGTTAAGGGAAGATTATTCCCCTTTCCTTAGAATTGCAGGCCAGCGAGTTCCTTCTCCTGACCAAGAATTGCTGTGGCCAGCTCCTCCTCTTGTGGGTGTATAAGACTTGGTGTATAAGAATTAGAGGTTGGTGCCTGTGTTCCTCCTCCCAGTGACCTGATAAGATTAATACTTGAGCTTCATGACTTCAAAGTATAATTACTTTGATTTCCTGAGCTGTACTTCATGCTCTTTTCCTTGCCTGTTAAGTTAAAGAGCTATGTCAGTCTGTTCCTATAACTGATAACAGCCTTTCCCAGCCAGTTAGCACAAACTGCTGTGCCCAGAGAAATACGGAGCCTTGACTGATTGGAGTTAGTGGTAGCCACACTGACAGTTAAGTGGAGTTTACGCTCTGTGTGATCCCTTTAGTGTTTGGGGCAGAATTTGGCACTAAGGTACTGAGAAAACAACAGCAGCTTTTCACTTATGGATTCAGCTGTGTTCTTCACCTTAAGGGTCAGCTTCATGTGTGTGGGTGCTAGTGTCAGGCTGTGAAATTAATCCGCTTAGTAATGATGGCCACTCACACTATCATCTCCAAATGCAAAATAGTTTCTTTAACCATGCTTCCTCTATGTAAATGCTTACCAACATCTGTGTTTAAAAAACATTAAGCAAAGCAAAAACATGTCAGGCCTTTGTCTGCACTTTTCCCAAGGTGAATTGGAAGGTCAAACAAATCTCTGTGTAGTCCCTATCTCTTAACATTACAATGAAGGACTCTCAAATACTTGATACACAGTCAAGTGCATCCAGTCAATAGACACAGTGAATGTGGTGTAAGGACTGCAGTGGAGTAACCAGGCAAAAGGTGTCTGCGTAACAGATGGAAAATGCCAGAACCTCTGTCCGAGTCGTGTTAATGCTGGGAGGGATTCTGTCTGCATTGGAGAGGAGAAGCCTACATGATCTTCCTTTGACCTGTGTCTACCCCAGACCAGCCAGAGTGTTGAGTCACACACTACTGGGAGCTATGAGCATATCAGGTGATGTGAGTCAGTGTGACTCCATTGTTGTCAGCTGAGAAGGTTTGGTCAGCAGCCTGTCTATTTTGGTAGGCTGTTGGCAGTGCTGCAGAGTGCCTTCTGTCACGTTAGTGGCCTTACTAGAAGTGACTCGTGATCCCATCAGTGCCCTGAGATACATTCTTCATGAGCCATTCCTTTTAAGAGCCAAGAGTGAACAGCCAATTGTCAGTCTTTATCTTGCATGTCCTTTTTGGCAGAGCATGTCAGCTCAGGAACCCTGATGATGTAATACTTGCTTAGTGTTTTTTCTGTTCCAGAGCCGGGTGATAGCCATGGATAAAGAGGAGGCTGCTGTGGATCTCACCAGGGAGAATGCACATAGGTACAAGCCCACGTATTACCCTTTTTTTGTAAATTCTTGTTTGAGGAAGACCAGGAGTCCTCAGTATTTGGACATGTGGTTCCTGTTTATCATCACTGGAAACCAGAGAATCTTTAGTTGGTTGAGCTTCTAAAGTGTGTAGGAATTCAGAAAAAGAATGCTTATATTTACCTGAGTATTTTTTTCTGACTTGTGAATGTGCTTTGCAGAGGCAGCTGCCTAAATAAAGCAATAGTACTTACATACTGTCTGTCTCCCAAGGGTTTTCAAAGTGTTTCATGGTAACTGCTCTCATTCCTTTCTGTGAACTTGGACAACTCAAGGCAGCAGGTAGTAAGAATGTATATGTCACTTAAGAGGCTAAGGACAAACATAGCCTTAGCTTTTCTCTGTCTGGCTCCCTGTATCATTATTGTGGTGCTTGTTTCTGTTGTTGCTCCTCTAGATACCAGCTTGCACACTCAAATAGCACATTTACTCTGTGCTGGTGTGATATCCCTCAGCACCCTTCTTGCAGTCTTGGGTTTGGTGAGAATGGTGCTCCTGGGTCCTGTCCTGTTTGAATGACACCTGTGCTGTGGCTGGATGTTTGGAGCTGCTGAATCAAACGTTTTATGCCTGAAGTCAGGACAGATCTGCATCAGGCTGGGCTTGGCCTTCCTAGTGGCTCTGCTTCCTCACCTGGTTCTTCTTAAGTCAGGTGATTCTGGACTGTCACTAACAGTGAGCCCCAGAGCTAGAATCTCGGTATGCTTTTGAGTCCAGGATGCCTGTCTCTGTAGATACTGTGCGAGGTCTAGAGCACCAGTATGTATTCATGACCTCAGTAACTGCTGGCTCCTGGCGTTAATTAGAGCAGTCTCAGAAAGGGTTCCTACTGCTACCTCTTATGGAGTCTGGTATGGCTGTGAGTCTGTGCTTCTGGCTGCACTGAGCTACACCTGTGCAGGCACAAGTCCTTCCCACACTTGTCACCTCACTATTACCCTTTGCCTCCTAGTCCGGTTATAGGGAACGGGGAGCAGAGATTTCCTTCAGATGTGCCAGTGTCAAACTAAGTTTTGTTGCAATTTTCCGTAGATATAATAAAAGCTAGCCAGATCTTTGCTTCCTTGGTAGATTATTGCTCTGGCATCTGGGAAAAATCGTCTTGCTTATTAACGTGGCTTGTGGGCTCAAGAATGGATGAGGGAGTGTAAATGCCGTGCCAGAGAACCTCCTATTTCTCCATGGATATTTTCACTTCATCCTTGTGATATCGTCCATGGCATGGTGCCCTGTAGCTCTTGGGAGAGAAACCAGTAGGATAAGCTGTGTCATTGCTTGGCTGAAGCCAGCTTGGTTCCTGCCTTCTTTCCAGAGATCCCTTATCACAGCTGTGTTCTCTAGATGGTTCGGTGAGTCTTGCTCTTAGTAAATCAATCCCAGTGCCAGATGGCCCATCTGGGCACACTGCAGACAGATGCAGGAATGCCTCCCTTTCTTGATGCCTGTGTTTACTGACAGGGCAGTACCATAGGCCCTCAGTGAAGAGCAGATCCTAAACTTCCCTTGCAGCTTGAGAGGAATCCAGCTGCAGTCAGTGGGGTAGGAGATACATGTATCTGACAAGAGATGTGATATTTAATGATCTGTTTGTAGAATTAATGAATCCACATGAACATACCTCCTAATCTTTCTTCTTTCTGTTCTTGCATCTGGAATTTTACAGGCTGAAACTCCAGGAGAGGATCCACATCCTTCACCATGATGTTTCACACAGTAACTCCTTTCACTGTTATAATCTCCTCTGTCTTTCTCCTTTTTGACTTTGATGGGGGGGGGCAGATGTGAGAGTCAGACAAGGCACCCCTTTGGGATGCAGGCATCAGGGAGGTGTTGAAGTTAATAAAGATCAGTAAAAAGTGAGCCAGTGAAGCTTTTCAGAGATTTCCAGGCCAGATTATCAGATGAGAGAAATCCCTGACTATATCAGAAGGTGAATTGTTCCTGGTTTTAGGAGTCTAAAAGTTGTGTCTGAGTTGATAGTCCAGGTGCTCTCCAGTGTTATTGGGGAGAGGTAAATATATACAGCGTGTAATTCGTTCCATGCTGAAATGGATGCTTTAAATAAACATGTATGTGCCTGTCTTTCCACTGATGTTAGAAGGAGCCCAGATATTTATCTCAGATTAAATGCTCAGCCTTAATCACCTGGAATTAGGTGAGCTCAGCCAGGGAAGGTATATCTGTTGTCTTCCCTGGACCTAGCTGAAACCAGTTAAAACTGCCATTTGGTGGGGCTTACCCAGTTAGGTAGATTGGTGTTCAGCTGTTTCTGAGCCAGGAACTCCAGCACTGCAGGTTCGTTAGTACACCTTTCGGACACCACTACCTCTTAGGGCTGTGTCTGCGCGGTCTTCTGTCAGCAAGCCTGAGTTTGTGCTGCCCGTGCTCCAAACAGCAGCGAGCCAGCCAGCTCCAGTCCAGAAGCCAGGTGGCTGTGTTGGCATTTCACCTGCATGGGCAAGCCCTGTGCTGAGGGGCTGGCCTGAGGCTGTGCCACATCACACGGTTACAGGATGTCCAGTTCAGGGCTGGCATGGATCAGTTCAGACAGTGGCATGAGCTTAGCGAGCTGAACCTTGTCTGCAGAAGAGTAAACCATTAGATGGTTGATGCTGCTGAGAGGGCCTGGCTCTTTTGCTCATTAGAGGTCCTTCTGCAGCTCTGAGAAGAGCAGGGTTATGCATCCTGACAGCTAGTCTAAGCTCCCACTTAGGTCTTTTTTGGCTCTCTCAAGTTCCGGTTGTTGCTTTAGATCCAGGTGGCCACAGAGCTCCAGAGCATCAAGGTCCTGTGCTTTGTAACATGTTCTGCTAAGTGGGACTGTTGATATGATGAAAAAATGATACTTTGCCTGTGCTTAGCTTTGTATCTAGGCCAGGCTATCCCAAAACCAAGTAGGATAACATTTTATTAGAAATAATCAGAGACAAACACACATGGGCATGTGTCTGGAGAGACAGTTTCCTGGGTAGGATTTTGACATGGAGCTTATAGGGAAAATTGCTGTGGTCGAGAGCTGGTTGTGATTCTTTTTCTTTTCTAGGTTCTGCCAAGCAGCTGCTACACTGGGGCCCCCTAGACTTCATAGTTAGTAACCCCCCATATGTCTTCCATGAAGACATGGCTTCCTTGGATGCAGAAATCCTCCGGTAATCAGATTAATACGTTTTTCTGCTCCTGTTCCTTGAAGCAAGGTTTTCTGTCTGCTTCCTTATACTACACACAATTGCACACAAAACATGCAAATGTAGAATGTATGTACATAGTGTAGGTGTGTTTATGTGGTGTATAATAATACAGTGTTACTTTGTTACTGCTTACAGGTCTGAAACAATATCAAAGTATTTAAAATATTTATATAAATGGAAAAAGCACACACTTTGATATAAAAAATTTCCAATCCAAAGCTGTTTCAGAACATTTCTCCTGTTAGCCTTTTTTTTTTTTTTTTTTTAATAATTGGTGTGAGTTTATGAAAGAAAGTACAAGTAATTTGACCAGCTTTTTGTGATGGAGAAAAAATTTGAGTGAAAATGCTGCTCCTCATTCTCATCCCAATACTTGTCTTAAACAAACCAACCCACACAAACATGAATAAGCTCTTTTGGGATGTGGAACTACTTTGCTTGTGCTGGTTCTTCCTCAGGATTGACTGTCATGCTTGTCAGGACAAAGTCCCGCACCCACCTGTACAAGATATGCACCAGAGCAGATTCTGAAAGCTGAGCTTTCTACATCCTGATTAACCCTTCTAGGGTAGAAGGCAGTCCAACCTGGTTATTGCCAGGGTTGAAATAAAACAAGCGATCCCTTGCTGTACAGCCCACTCTCTCCCTGTCCAGCTAGTGCAGAGAGAACAGAGCCACACTGTGGCTGCAGTTGGCTTTTAATTTTCAGGAAGAGTTCAGGGAATGTTTTCTTCTTGTGTTCAACCTGGAGTTTCTCAGCCCAGTGGTAGCTGCCTTCTTACTCCGTGTATTTTACATAAAAGCTATGAGTGCTGTCACCTGCTGTAGGAGTGCTGGAGTTCAGGTGTGTTAGGTGTGCCTTTCATCATCCTCCAGGGCATGGCTCATGCCACATGAATTGCTGTTAATGTCTTCTAATTCCCACGCTCCAGCTATGAGGACCTTGATGCGCTGGATGGGGGAGATGATGGGATGAGAGTCATCAAAACAATTCTGGCTCTGGCTCCTTCTCTTCTGAAGGATTCTGGGTAAGCACTGTTGTCTGAGTTTCATGTCTTTTGTCCATTCACTTCTGTAACTTCTGCTTTTATTTCACATAAGAGGTACAGAGGGAAGATAGTTGCAAAAATGTGTCACGTGTTCTGTCCCCGTACCATCTAATAATAGCAGTTTTAAAAAGTCATGTGTACAAGCAAAATTAGCTTGAAATTGGTTAATAAAGGGGTATGAGCCTTCCTTGACCAGTGGTGGTGTTTTACAGTAATTAGCGAAGTGAGAATCTTTAAAGGTCAAAGCAGCAAGAAAAAGAACATGAAAGAGAGTTTGAAAAAAAAAAAAAAAAAAAAAAGCTTTCTAAGCAGAATAACTGATTGAAGGAGAAACAATATAGAACTCTGTGAGAACGGATGTAGAGCTCTACTTCCCTCCCACCCTTTCATAAGGGGAAACTTGTTTATTGTGCCAGGATACAATGCTGAATATCCCAGGAGAAAGAAGATCAGCCAGGGATAGTTTCTTAAATATTAAATTTCTCCATGGTTAATACTCAAGACTGATTGTTCCTATTCTTTGTCATGTGGGGCCCATTTTGTGCTTAAAGATCCACATGCTGATACACAAAAGTTTGTTGTGCCAGGGCATTCACATATCCTGTTGAAAATTCCTGACATTTTACCAGCATAAGAGAGGTCATTGAAAATCATTTGTTTTGAGAAGAGGAACAGGAAAATTAAGAGGCATACTGCATGCAGAAGAATTCATTCCTTATGCTTTGCATGACCACAAGAGCAGAAGATGCTCCTCGGAACTTCCCAGCAACAGAGACTGGTCCCGTGGGGTTGTTTTAGGGTTATTTTTTTCTTTCCCTTTCTTTTTGTTTTATAAGGAGGAGCTCCCATTGAGGAGTGGAAGTTTTTTAAGGTCAGGAATGAGATCCACACCCACCTTGTAGTTAGTTCAGTGAATTTATAGGGAGTATTCATTGTGGGATGTTTTAGGAATTCTCAGGAGGGCATATGATTGGGGCTTGGCCTCTGTTCTTTGCCTGTTAATCTTGTATCTTGGTGCGCTGTCACAGGCTGTAACCAGTTTCATTGTCTTCACATGCCTATAAGCTGGGTTGGTTGTGCCTTGTTGTGGGAGTGGAGACTCAGAAATAGGCTGGTGTGATAAAGCTGGGCTGCAGCAGAGCTGGAAATAGCCCTGCTGTGTCCAGGCCTAGTCCTGCTGCGCTGAGGTTGTCTGATTAGTTTGCTTATCTCTGCTGCACTCTCCTTTGTACAGTCCTGTATCTAGGACTGTATGGTCTGAATGCTGGTGGTGTTTTCAGGCTGATTTATGGAGACATTTACTGTGGGAAAAATGTGTGGACTAACTTGTACTTTGTGACTCTTGCTACTGGGACTTAATGTCACCCTGGAACTTCATGCTGCCAGTCCAGTCCTCAGTGTTCATGCATTTGCGCCATAAAACTTCATTCTGGCCTTAAATCTATGGGGCTTCAGAAAGACAGAGCTGTTGGTATCTCTGCATGGAGTTCAGAAGGGATCCTTGCATCTCAATAAAAGGGTTTAATGGCTCACACAGAGGAGTACCATGAGAATTCCCTCCAAGATCAACACTCTCCTCCTGAAGGAGGCAGTTAGGATCTGCATCTTAAATGGACAGCTATGATCTGATTTAGGATTATTGGATTGCAGTGTGTTTGCTGACTTTCTCATTTCCTGCACTGGTGTGAATCATACAGAAGGAAAGACCCCTTTAGGGGTCTTTAGGTTGCATTTAGCAACCTAAATGTGTGCCTCTCCCCACTTTCTGTTCCCAAATATGTCCTTTCAGGAGTGTGTTTCTGGAAGTTGATCCCAGACACCCAAATATGGTGGAAAACTGGCTACAGACACACCCCAACTTACTACTCGTCCTCTGTGCCATTCACAAGGACTTCTGTGGCAAGTAAGTCCTTTTTACCCTCAATTTTTTGCTTCAGGTATTGTTTTGTGTGCTTTGTAGATTATGTCCCAGCACCTTGATGTATTGAATGAATTCAGCCAGAGAAAGTCCACAGCTGAAGTTGATCTTTAGTAAAATAGGGGCTTCCTTCAAGTATCTCAACCTTATCATATCCTGAGATAGCCTGGCAATGTTTCTGAGTCAGAAATTCTGATGCAGGTAAGCATTTCTGATGTGGTGACTAGCTCTGATGAGATTATTGCCATTGGAAAATTGCTGCTTTTATAGGATGGAGGAAGAGGCATGTTTTCCCTATCAAGACTTAAAGCTCTGGTGATTCTTTTTCCCACAGGCCTAGGTTTCTGCACATCCAAAAACATAGCAGATGACAGCTGTACCAGAAATAACTCTTCTTGCAATATGCTTTTTGCTGGTGAGCTCTGCTGAACAGCTTGCTGAAAACTATGTGTGGCAAAAGGAATCTCCGCTTCATTCCCTTGTGCACTGAACTCTCCCTGCAGTGGCAGACCCCCTCATTTCCTGATACCAACTTCATCCAGAGATGTAGAAGTTCATCGGATTGTGTAGAAGTGTTTCACCTTCCTCGAGGAACTGCATGCAACTTCCTAGTTTGCTCTGCTAAAACGACTCATTAATCTTGGGACACAATATGGAAGAATTCACAGCTCCAGCTACTTCATTAAACTTACAACTTCTCAATGTGTCAGATCACCCATTTGACCTAGAAAGAATTTCACTCTTGTCTTTTTGCCCTTGAGATAAATTTATATAGAATGTGACTAGATTGGATGATGGGTCCAAACTCTGGCTTATACTGGCACATGGATTTTCAGGTATAATGGCACGTGACTAACCTGCACATTTCAAATTCAATTCTAGTCCAGGATCCTGATGCTCTTCAGTAGATCTCCAACAGCACAGCAGCCTTTGTTTCCCAGTCCTGCTGAGTGACATGTCATTGAAGGATCAGTGCACATGTTACACCATCTGAATCTCCAGCACCTGACACTTGGTGGATGCTGCCAGAAACAATCAAAACCTTGTAATAAAGATAGTGCTTCAAATCATTGTCCTTACAAGAATCGCTGTGCAATTATGTTTCATTTTCAAATGTGCCAGCAGACCTGAATAAACATCTGGCACCCGCACATTGCTTCTGATAGTAATAAAAATGCCTAACTTCCATGTAAGGCATTTAAATGCAAGACTTTACCAAGAAGGCCAGAATAACTACCTCAGTTTTGCAGATGGAGAGGCTGGAAAATGGGAGGTGAAATGACTTGTACAAAATTTGACAACAATCTAAGTTTGGAGTAGGATCCAGTCTCTTGACAGCCGTGGGAATAGCTGAGGTCTGTTTCTTTGGGAAGGATGACTCAGAGTAGGGCTGCCTGAAAAAACACTGAGAGAAGTCCCTGAAATGGACAGTCAACATCATGACATTATAAATAACAGCAGGATTAAATTCAAGCTGCTGCTGTTTCCAGTGTTGCAAGTTCCCTTCCTGACTATAGCTAGCCAGGGAATGAAAGGAAGAAAGCAAATGGAAGGATCTGGTCTACCAGTCTGAACAGAAGTAGTTGCTGGGCCCATGGAGGTGAGCACTCAGTAGGGGTGGAAGTGTCCAGACAGTGACCTTTGCAATCTGTGTGTGCTGGGGAGGTGCTGTCAGGCGCTCTGTCCCAGCTGAACTGGGACTGCGGAGCCAGAAACATTAGGTAGGAGATGCATCAGCAAACTTCATCCATTTGGGAGGCTGCAGCAGATGCAGAAGGCTTTCCATGAGCAGTAATACATCTAGTCCCTTTCCCCTCTACCTCTCCCAGACTCACACTCCCCACTCTTTCATTTGCTCTTTAACTCTTGAACATGGGCCCTGCTTTTCCACAGATACATGCGTGCTCTCTGACATACCAGAACTCCAGTCTTCAACTGGATCCTTTCCCCACCCTCTGGGCTTTTACAGCTCTGTTCACCGACAACCCTTTCACCTCATCATACCACTCACACTGCATTTATCCTCCCCACCGCTCTGCTCGCCCCAGTAATTTGCCACGTTGCATGCACTTTTTACTTGAAGTTGTGAGCCTTCTCTGGACTGAGTACGTGCAGTGGTTAAACACAGTAGAGGGAATCTAGGGAAGGAGAGAACTAAAAAAGTTCAGCTAAAGTGCACTTGATCCAAAGTTTGGAAATAAAATTCTAGCACAGCTGATTTCTGGCAGTTTTGCCGGCTAGAGCTGTGAGTACAAATTGTAGTCAGAGGTTTTTTGAGTTTTTTGTTTAGTAGTAGTTTAGGGTCGTCTTTTAAGTTCAGTTTGTCAGACTTTGTTTAAAAATTAAATGAGTTCACAGATTTCATCTGGGTGTTAGCAGTGTTTATGTATGAAGCAGAGCAACATGCACAGCTTACTTCTGCAGGATACTTTAAAAGCTGGATAGTTTACTGGCTTATGAGGGTGCTAAATGGCATAAGATCATATTTTTTCAAGGGGTTGGCCCATTCCTTGTGCCAGGCTAGAGTTAGATGTCCCTCTGAGAGTGCTGGTGGCTGAGCTGCAGAAAGCAGCGTGACTTTTCTCGAAAGTGTCAATCAGTTACTTGTCTGAGCAGGACACTTTGTGAGACAGACTCTTTGTCTAATCCGGCAGGACGAGTGTTAAATTCCTATAGTTATAGCTAAAGCAATAATAAAAATGCTTACATTTCTGTGGATTTGCATTGCATAGTGGTTATATGTCTCGGAAAATCACATGATGCTGCTGACCTTCTCATAAAGACAAGAATAGAGAAAAATTGTTCTTCCTCCCAGGAGGCTGGATTTATTTGTCAGACTCACATCTGAGGGAATGTGTTGGTGTAGTACAACGCGTTCTTCAGTGCTTTATGCGTATGGGCCCAGGCTCGTTTTGGTACGGAAGCACTGCGGAGTTTTTTGGAGATGGTGGTTTTAAGGAACCACAGGCACTGCCAGGGCCCTTACTAAAGCACTGAACCCTGCCGGTGCTGCCTTTGTTGCCTGCGAGCGGGAGGCTCAGCTGAGGCCGGCAGCACGCGGCGCACGTGAGCTCTGCAGAGGCACAGCTACTCCCTGGAGCTGCAGGAGGCTGACGCTTCTGCTGGCATTTTACATAATCCAGGATCTGACATACATTTAATTTTCTGGGAATTTACTGGGTCTTTGGAACTGTATCAAAAGGGTGATTTGTCTCCTGAAGCGACGCTTTTAGAGAGGGGCTTTGTTTTCCTCCGGGACCCTAAAGAGTGTGGTTGTGTGTGTGCTCAGGTTTGTGTTTTGGAGAGTTACCAGGTGTGAAGTATCTGCTAGGGTAACGCTGGCGTTCCCTGAGGAGGAGTTGGTAAAAGCCTGGTCTTTGGCAGAGCCCTGCAGATGGTGCTGTGGCCCCAGTTTAGCGGTGCGAGGGCTCAGAGCAGCCCTGCCGCAGGCTGCCCGCCCTGAGGGGAGCGGGGCAGGGTGCCGGCCCCCCTGAGGGAACTCGGGATAACAGGGGCCTGTGCTGTCAGTGCGGCTCCAAAGTGGGGCTTTGGCCTCTATTCCTGTGCCAGTAAAACAGAACTTCGGTGCGGGGCTCGTGTAGGGAAACTGGAAGGGAACCTCACAGCTTGTGATACAGGACTGGGGTTGTACCTCATGGAGACCTGAAGCCCCCCCCTAAGGCTGCATTAATCCATGGTTTTGAACAAACTCTAGTATGCTGGAGGACAGAGATAGAGTACCATTATTATTCTGGTGTAATTTCCATGTAAGCATCCTGAAGTGCTCTGTCTCCCACCCAAGATATGGGGTGAAAGGGACTTTCTCAGGGACCTTAGTCAAAGAAATGCGTTTATATCCTCACAGCACTCTCACCTGAGCCTGTGGTCTTGTGGGGATGAGACTCCCTTCCAGGTGAGGCAGTGACAGAGTGACTGCACTAGGGTGGCACGGGAGGTCCCTGGGGACCCAGGTGACTGAATGTGTGTGGATTACTGGACAGCACTCAGTTCCTCGATGCAGGGCCATAGATCAAAATGGGTTGGAAGAGAGCTCGACAGTCTTCTAGCCCAATTTCCCTGTCCAAGTAAGAAGCAACTTGGCTTACATCATTCCTGACAAATGTTTGACCAGCCTGACCCAAAAGCCTTCCAGTGCTGATAAGGACATTTGCTTGCAATCTGTTCTGGTGCTTTGTTGTTCTATCTGGTAGAAAGTTATACTTTGTACCTAGTCTTCCTTGCTGTCTTTAAAGCTGAGGTACCACTGCTGCTGTCCTGAGGTGGAGAACAGCTGACTCCATAGAGCAGCTTCTGTGTGGTAATCTGTTCTCATGTTTCCTCACAATCTTCATTTCTGAGGGAAAGAACACCAACATTGTGTTGTCTCTGTAGGCTGCTTGCACTATCTTCCTTTCCTGCTTGTGAGATGTGAAGGGGGACCAGGTGTGCTTCAGCTGTTGCAGGTGATACTTGTGCTTATGGTGATTGGATTCACAGAGCTGCTACAGCTCATCTTATTACAGGGGAGAAGTCATTTTCCAAGTGGTGAAGACCAAGCCAAAACTTGCATTAACATTTCGTTTGTCTGGGCAAGTTTTCAAAAGCTGTATTTAAATCTTAATAAACTACTATTTCTACTTCAGATTGCATCCTGAGGGACAAATACCCAGTGAGAGAAGGCTTCTCTCTCACAGTAAAGAAGGTGATGAGATACCAAGAGAGACTTTATCCAGTTTTCAGCCTATTTCCTCTTCCATAGATGTTTCGCTATGCTTTGAGTTAAGTGTTAGAAGTTTCAGATGTTCCTCCCTGTGGAGGGTCATGTCACAGTCCTCCTCTGTTTCTTTTGCCTGGCAGCAGCTTACGAATCTCAGCATGGTCCATCCATGGAGGCTATTTGCATGCTACTATCCTACAGCCCTGGGATCATGGCCAAAGCATGCTCTGCATTCAGCTGTTGCAATTGGGACAGGTAGCAGAAGTTACTGTAGCCTCAAGGATGTTCTAAAATGTGCCCTCGTGTTAGAATCAGACTTGTACCCAGCTTTCTCCTGCTTTGCAGTCACCAGTTTGGTTGTGCCAGATCGGCTTAGGCTGACATGCCCAGAGTTCAGAGGCTGCATCTGTACTGTTCCCAAGATTTGCCCTCCAGCCTGGCACAGTCTTTTGTAAGTGCCTGCAAGCAGGAGGTGGTGTCTTTCAGGATACTGACCTATATGATCTCTCTGCCCCTGGACTATTTGGTCTCACCTGTCACTGTCACAGTGGATCTGGCAGAACAGCCTCCTGAGAGTAGGCTAAAAGTACAAGCAGTTTGCTAAATTGCCTGATCATGGTACTTGGGGTTTTGATCCCCTCCAGAGAGGGTGCATAAAGGTTATATTAGCCCCTACGTAAAAGGAACAGAGCAGACCGAGGAACATGCTGATTGTAAGAGATGTGATCATGCCAACCTATGTGTGCTGTGCTGAACTGAATACCATGATGGTTTTCCTCCTCAGCTGGATCCTGGGAACAGGCCTTTGAGCAATATGGTGTGTGCAGATGCACTGGAGTTTTTGAAAAATCAGCTGGTTTTCAAAGGATTTGCTCTTGAGCAAACTGCTTTGGATTTCTTTCTCTCATGCCTGAGGATTTCAGGCCTGTGGATTTCACTGTGGGGACAGTGTGGGTAGGGATGACAAAGAAGGGGGAGCCCGTTTGCAGCAGTTCCTGCCCACAGGCAAGGCCTGAGTAATGTCAGCTGTGCCCAAAAGCAGGTGTGACTTGCACACCCTTCTCCATCTGCTGTTGCTAGGTCAGAGGCAAATAAGCTGTTATTACATTTTGCTCCCTTTGGGAAGTTTAGTGCTGCGTTTACTGGAATCTTGCCAGTGGTTCCATATTATACTGGGGTTCACCAAGTCTGGATTCAGATCCCTGCTGTGTGACAAACTGCAGGCCTGACCTTGGGTGTATTATTGCTTACTCTGTTCCCTGCTGTTATGGTTGAAATAATATCCCTTTGCTCTCTTACAGACCATTGTAAGAGTGCCTCATATAGAGGATGTGGGGTACTTGGTTACTTCAGAAAGGACTGTCACTG